AAAGAGGAAGAAATTCAAATTTATTGAATATTTACTTTTTAGCCTGGAAGCATATATAATGCAAGCTTCCCAGTTATCAAAGGAGAACATACATCATCTATATATAAATCCAGACTTAACTTTGAAGGAACTGAGATTTAGAAAATGAGCAATTAGGAACAGACTAAGCTAAATAACATGATTCTAAATAGCATGAATAATATCAAAAATGAATATATAAAAATGAATAATAGCAACTAACATGTATAAAGTACTCATTTCCAGGCACTGTGCTAGTATACTATACACATTTCCACTTAATTCTAATAAGTAGCTAGAAAGAGAATTGTTCTCTTCATGTTACAGATGAAGAACTGGGAGCTCAGAGGAGTTAAGCCAAGATTGTCTAAGGTTACACAGGTATGTTGGACCCCCAGAACCTAGGCTATGGTACATGGTCTTCTCATATGCTATTCCAACTATATCATATCAACTTTATGGAGGATAGTGTTAATATGTACAGAATCACATATTTCAATCCCTAATTTACTCAGGTTTGTTTCCTCACAAATGCATAATAACATGTATAAGAAACTATAATTGACTCTTGAACATGGGGGAGAGGGGTTTCAACCCCCCAAGCAGTTGAAAATCCACATATAACTTGTGACTCTCCAAAACCTTAACTACTAAGAGCCTACTGTTGATCAGAAATCTTGTTAATAACATAACAACTGGTAACATATATTTTATATGTTATATGTATTTTATACTGTATTGTTGTAATAAATTAAGCTAGAGAAAAAAAATGTTACTAGGAGAATCAAAAGGGAGAGAAAATACATGTATAGTACTGTACTGTAAAAAAATGTATATTAGTTAACCCATTTAGTTCAAACCTGTGTTGTTCATGGCTCAACTGTATATATAGTAACCATTTATTTACTCCACAAAATTTTATTAAGCACCCATTATGTGCTAAGCATAGTTCTAAGTACTGGGAATATAGTGGTTTATACTATAGTTTAGGACCAGAAAGACTTTAAACAAATAATCATACAAATGTATATAAAAACACAAAGCTATATAAGAATCATTAAGGAATATTTAAGGTTGAGAAGACATTGGAACAGAAGGACCTGAATTAGATGGGTTGGGGGGAGGATTAGGGTCCTAACAAAGACTTCTCTGAGGAGCTAACGTCAAAACTGAGCCCTGATGGGAAAAAAAAAATACATACTATGAAGGTGGGGGGTATTTCAGGGAGAGGAAGGGGCGAATGTCAGATCTCTAGGATGGAAAACACTTGACAGATTATAAGATACCCAATTTAAAAACCTATGCATTCATATATTACATTAAGTGGGGAAAAGGATGTTACTACACCTCAGGTTTTGGTTTTATATAATAGGAATAGGAGGATAAATATAGCAGATTGCTTCTATGGAATAGCTTAGTTGCAAAGATAAATTGTACGATAAAGACATAAAAAGAATGCCTTGGGAACAGAAGAGAGAGCAACTAAGGCATCGTAAAGGAGTTCCTGGTTGACCTGAGTTGAGTTGAGTGAAGGATGAGGATTTCGTGCGGCACAGAAGTGGGAAAGCACTTTCCCAGCAGAAGGAATCGTATGTGTAAAAGGCACAAAGATGAGAGAACGATGTAGCCTCAGAGAAGGGGGGGGGAGGGCTACCTGTTAGAGAAGGGGCTAGTAGTTAGGTTATGGCCAGACTACAAATGGTTTTGTAAATCCTGCTAAGTGTGGACTTTCCAGTCTTAGCCAGGGGCAGATATTGGGGGTGTTAGGCAGAAGAAAAATATTTAAGAGGTGATTGTGGTAGGTGTATAGGGTTTGGAATTATAAAGTGGTGGCAGGTTGAGAAATGAAGAGACTTTTGTCATATTCCAAGCTAGAGATAATAAGCTTCTCAACTAACCCAATGGCAATGTGATTGGAGAGGATGGGGCAGGTTCGAGAATGTTTTGTGTCTAAGAACTGCTGGCCATGCTAAGGCTAAAGAGAGAATGTATAAATACCTCATGGTAACCCAGAACCCTAAGATACTTCGGAAATCTGCCTCTTCCTCTGATTGCTATCTGATAAAATATTATCTCTCTCTTTATATATACATCTCTCTTTGTCTATGTATATATGTCTCTGTGTGTGTGTGTGTGTGTGTATACATAGAGTGGCAGACAATATTTTATTTATGTCTATATATACATTTATATGTCTATATCTATTGAACGATTTTTAATCTATTTATCTTAAAGGACCACAATTTGAAGTGCTCGTAGTTGTGCACTGAACAATCTGCACAACCATATGAAGGGTTGTATCCCACCACCATCAATGAAAAGAGAACTGATGCATACACTATTGGCAGGGCTGGGGGCCCCTCGTGTCTGCAGATGTGACTAAAACACACTGTGCTATTTGTCATCTTTTAATTAGACTTGTGTGAGTCCTATCATTTTCTGGGAGTAATTTTGATACTTTGGATAAGACTACTGTACATTTTTGTGTTCACCTATACAACCATATGGATAGAGACACATAGATACCTAGATTGACACATAGATTCATAGATACTTAGATTCATTTGCCACAGATAAGTGTCTGCAAATGGAACCAAGGTCTCCTGTCAAAATATGTAGGAGCATTTATTTATTTTCAATTGCTCCTTTCTTCAAAAAATTGTCATGCTAACAAAGGAAGGGCCATAAGAGTACTGCCAAATTCAATTCAGATTTAAAATTAAATTAGAAGCGTTGAGAGCCGCCCTTGGTGCGTGCTGCTTGCCAGTAGCATGCCCTGGAGAAATAAAGATGACTAAGATGGGCTCCTCCCTCAGTGGTGTGCATTGTGTTGGAGAAGCAACTGGAATGAGGTGGTTTTGTTCATTGTGGTTAAGTGCTGTGAGCGAAGATGCACTGGGAGATCATTCAAAGCAGAGGAAACAGAATATGCAAACATAAATACTGTGTTCCAGGCATTGATAAGATGTTAAACAAAGAAGCTGCTTAACCTGATGGAAAGAATTCTGCCATTTACTGGCCATGTCCTTTTGGGGAATTTACTTAACCCTCCCCTTGCCTCAATTTTTTTTTTCATTTTTCATAGTGAGAATATTTGTTTTATTTATTTCATAATTTGTGAAGAAACCATAAGATAATATACATGCAAGCAATTTGAAAACAAGCATTATGTATTAATATACATTATTGCATCGTACATATTAATAATAAGGATATCATAATTGAGAAAAAAAGAACTTTTCTTTTTCTCAGTTCACTCGCTGTACTTCCTTTCTTCCTGGTATCCACACCCTTGATGCTATACTTGTCTTTCCTCCCTTGAGAAAGTAGCAGGGTCCTTCTGGAAGAGCCAGGGGGCAGTCAGCACTGCCTGGGGCTTGGTGGGAATGTGTGGAGTAACTTTGCAATTCCACCAGGAACCTGCCTCCTGATGGGTGACATTGACTGAGCAGCTAGAGAATGAGGAGGTCATGCTAAATATCCATGGAATTTTACAAATATCTATTACACCAGGACCCCTTGAACTATCAGATGCAACATAGCCAGTACAAAACTGATGATTCTGAACTGGAGGTTGTGTTGGGAGATCTGTCCTTGGGCATCATATATACTAAATTATCCTCTACTAACCTGACTGTACCACCCCCCTCCACCGAGCTGTGTCTACCCTAACACCAGCACCAGGGAGACTCCTGGGTCTAGAGAAAGAACTTCAGAGGGCCAACACATCCAGCTAAAGCAGACATTATTCTGAGAATATTGTGGAAGATGCACTGAAGTTGTTGCTTTATAAAAGTGAAAAAAGTATTGACATTTCTAAGCCCAGAACTATTTTTTAACAAGCTAGAAAATACTGAAAAACAGGTAGTACAGTTTTCTCATGAGAATGCAGTGTAGTTAGAATGCACACTATTTTTTCCCAGTGTGTATTTGGGTAAAATATGTGCAATGAAATTTCAGGCCAAATCCTAATGCAGAAATAATCCAAAATATGGCAGATTTATAAGCTAGGCAATTTTTATTTATTTGCTAATGTGGATTCCCTTAAGAAGTCAAATGCTCTACATGTTACTTATGGCTTCTCCTTGAAAAGACTTACCTCTAAGGTCTCAGCAGCATAAAACTCCCGGCTGCAGAGTTGTCTGAATCAAGCATCAGCCATAATTCTCCTTTGCCACTGACTCTGGGTGGTTCGGAACCTACCAGTACTCTACCTGTTTGGTAATTAATAATTCATAATTAAACTGGCAGTTTGAATAAATCAACAGAGCCATAGGCTCGGAGCCTCCTCTCTTGCCATCCTTCAGAGAATCATAACAGAGAAGAAAGGTTTAGGTATCTGAAATCCTCCATTAAAAGCTTTGACCTCCTGCCCCCAATCCCACCCCGTAGTTTTTTGGATTTGTACCATCTGTTCTTTGGATCTTTCTTTCAAAGAGGAATTAAGCAGGACCCTTGTCAGCCTTGTGCTAGATACTGAGGAAATAGAGATGCATGTGACTCCACCCTTACCCTCAAGCAACTAAGTCTAGGTAAAAAGACAGGCATGAAAAAATCTGCCATGATACCACGTGCTCAGTCCCCTCTGCGTGGAAAGTTCAGACAAATACAGTAGGAGAGACAAGTAATTCTCTTCTCAGGATTTGGGGAGAAGTGAAGGAAAACTGCAGAGGGGAGGTGATCTTTGAGGTCTCTTGAGTGATGAGTCATATCTTTTCAGGTAGGAAATGGAGAAAATAAGAGGAAAACAAAGCAATGGAAGTACTTATGCTTTTGCCATGTTCCACGGAGAGCCAGGGTTGAGCCCTAGCAGTGCACAGTGTTAATGGCTGCCTCGTTGGCAAATCAAGCAATCTGAACATTATTATTGAGAATAATACCTATCATAAAAGCATGCTATGCAAATATTTATAGACTAATACCTCCGTTTGAGTGCAAAGAATCATTCTCATGTATTTCTTTTCTCCTTTGTTTCTTTACAGTTCCTCCCCAGATCATGAATATCTCCTCAGACATCACTGTGAATGAGGGAAGCAGTGTGACCCTGCTGTGTCTTGCTATTGGCAGACCAGAGCCAACTGTGACATGGAGACACCTGTCAGTCAAGGGTAAGGCTTTACCTTTGGGAATTTTTCAGTTATTCTATTATTCTATTGAAGAGTTTGTTCTAAAGCACAACAAAACTTTGGGAATCAGAAAGCAATGCTGTATTTGTAACATAGTAATGTAAAAGCAAATAGGCCACAAGCATCAGTCACTAAGTATTCCATTCCCAAAAAAAGAAAAGGATTTATAAAGAGAAAATATACTGAATTATTTTCTCAGTCCTTTTTATGGCCATAGAAAACTTGTGTTTTCCCAACCAGGAAGAACAGAGGTGCCATAACTTCAAATAAAGATACTAATTTCTCAAGGTGGAGATGTATGGGTAAGTCGTCATTTGCCCTTTCTTTAAGAAGAGTGCTAGAAGGCTAGAATGCCCATTGCAAATGTTGGTGTTACTGTGCATCCTTGAGAAAAAAGATCTCCTCACTCAGTACTTTCAGACCATTTCCCCAGAGCCACACCTCTTTGACCTATATACATCAATAGTCTACCTGAGTGGAAGAAGGATGATGGAAAAGATGAAGTACACCTAGCATGCATGTACTGGGCACTCAGTGGTTGGCATTAAACATCAGTGATAATCGTCTCCACCTTTGTAGGAAGGGAACCAAAAGAACAGTGGGCCCTATCTGTTTGGAACTAAAACTTACCCCAAGTTGAACTTGAAGAGATGGGCACAGAGTCACTTGGTATATTTATACATTACTAGAAACTATGATTAATTCTAGAAATTATACAAGAAACAAATGCTCCCTCAAGCATCAGAAAATACACAAATGAATTTCAGTGAAATAGGAGAATGTGTGGAGTATGCCTGTGCGTGATGTAAAAATAACCTAGATCTAGAGGAAAACATAGGAACACATCTTGGTAACCTTGAGATAGACAAAGTGTTGCTAGGACATCAAAGGCTCTTACCATAAAAGAAGAAAACATGAATACATTTGGCTTTGTATTATTTTCTCACAGAGGCTGTAACAAAGTACTACAAATGGCATGGCTTAAACAACAGAAATGTATTTTCTTGTAGTTCTGGAGGCTATATGTCCATGATCGAGGGAAGGTAGGGTTGGTTCCTTTCAAAGGCTGTGAGGGAGAACCTGCCCAATGCAAATCCATTAGCTTCTGGTGGTTGGCTGGCAGGCTTTCGTGTTTCTTGGCTTGCAGATGTATCACCCTGATTCCTGCCTTCATTATCACATGGACTTCTCCATGTGTGCTGTCTTTGTGTCAAATTTTCCCTTTTTATAGGGCCACCAACATATTGACCTCATCTGATCTTGGTAAACTTGTAAAGACCCTATTTCCAAATAGGGTCACATTCTGCGGCACTAGGATTAGAACTTCAGGGTATCTCTGATATCATCAGTTCTGTATATGCTATGTTGCATCTGATAGTTCAAGGGGTCCTGGCTTAATAGATATTTATAAAATTCCATGGATATTTAGCATGACCTCCTCATTCTCCAGGTGCTCAGTCAATGTCACCCATCAGGAGGCAGGTTCCTGGTGGAATTGCAAAGTTACTCCACACATTCCCACCAAGCCCCAGGCAGTGCTGACTGCCCCCTGGCTCTTCCAGAAGGACCCTGCTACTTTCTCAAGGGAGGAGAGACAAGCATCAAGGGTGTGGTTACCAGGAAGAAAGGAAGCACAGCGAGTGAACTGAGAATGCAATTCAATTCATAATGGCTTCATCAAATTTAAAAACACCATTAAGTGTAAATGAAAAGACAAGCCATAGACTGGGAGAAACATTTGTCATTCATATACCTGACAAAGAATTTGGGGTTTTGTCTGGGTTATGTTTGGGCTTCATTTGGGTTATATGAGGAATTCTTACAACATAATTTAACAACCCATCTTGAAATGAACAAAACATTTGAACAGACAATTCACGTAAGAAGATATATGAATAAAAATTAAGCACATGAAAATATGCACAATATATTTACCATAGAAAGGAAAATTCAGTCATAATGAAACACCACTACACAACTGCCAGACTGTCAAACTTAAAAACAACAATAACAACAACAACAAACCCTGAAAATATCAAGTGTTGCCAAGCATGTGGAGCAACTGAAACTCTCACACATTAACTCTGGGACTATAAAATGCTATAAGCACTATGGAAAACAGTTTGGCACTTTGTTATAGAGTTAAACATACACTTAACATATGACCCAGCAATTCTGCTCCTGAGTGTTCACCAAAGATAAATGAAAATGTCTGTCTACAAATATACATTGTACATAAATGTTCATAGCAGCTTCACTTATAATAGCCTCAAACTAGAAATAACCTCAAACCTTCAACAATTAAATAAATTGTGTATTTATCTATTTTTAAACAGCTATTTATCTATATTTAAACAACAAATGACTTCTCAGCAAGTAAAAGGAACAAATCATTGCTGCATGTAACAAAATGGACGATTCTCGAAAACAGGCTGAGCAAAAGAAGCAAGACACAAAAATACCTACTGCATGATTTGATAGGCAAAACTAATTCGTAGTGACTGAAATCAAGTCAGTGGTTACCTGGAGTAAGGATTTGGGGAGATGTGACTAAAGGGGCACACGGGAATTTTTTCAGGTGATGGAAATGTTTTAGATCTTGAATGTGGTGCTGGTTATGTTGTCGCTTACATAAGTCAAAATGTCAAAGTATACACCAAAAATGGGAACATTTTATTGTATGTAAATTAAAATCTCAATGAAATTTTAAAAAATATACACATAGAGATATGGGAAATACTGACCTGAAGATTTGCCCCTAATCTGTAACATAATTTATGTAAGCAGTACTTCCTAGATGAGAGACTGGACTTGTTACTAGGACCACCATTTAAGGGAAAACTTAAATGGTCTCATGTCCTCCATGTAAACAGAGATGCATATGTCAACCCCCGCTTTGTTGCAGGGAAAGATAATGCTAATAAATCCTCTGAATATTCTTTGTATACAGACCTCAATATTGAAACATAAAATGTCTATATTATAAAATAATGTTAACAAGAATGTTAAACTATACATGAGGGACATCACAAAGCCCAACTTTAATGTAAATGGGGCAGTAGCTTATGTTCCCAAAGACATAAGGCCTATGGGAATTTTGCTTGAAGTGAGGGATAATTTTGGATTTATATTACATACAAAACTATGTCTAAACATCAGACCAATTTCTATGTATTTGGTAAATTCAGAGTTTTTTATAAATGCTTGAAATCACAAAATGCATTTATTTGATCCTAAATGCATAGTTCTCTGAGCCTAGAAATCTTTTTTTAATTATGTTATGTTAATCACCATACATTACATCATTAGTTTTTGATGTAGTGTTCCATGATTCATTGTTTGTGCATAACACCCAGTGCTCCATGCAGAACGTGCCCTCTTTAATACCCATCACCAGGCTCACCCATCCCCCCACCCCCCTCCCCGCTAGAACCCTCAGTTTGTTTCTTGGAGTCCATAGTCTCTCATGGTCCGATTGAAAGGCATTTCGACTTTGTGTAAGTGTTTTGAAGCAATACCTTATAATGGTACACTGGTAAGTTTTCCCTCTTAAAATAAGGGAAATTCATCCATATTCTCAATCTTTTATACAACATAATAGTTACAATTCAGCCTCAAAAAAGCTCAGAAAACCCTACATTTAAATGATTCCCCTGCTCTTCCAATCTCCCAGGCTATGATCTACTTTCAGTTGCCTTTTGCCTTTTTCATAGCTTTGGCCTTCACTTTGCTGTCTTTCCTTCCCCCCATTGTCTTTCTCCTCCTCTTTCAATGACATTTAAATATTTTAAACTCAAAGCATTATTTTCCAAATTTGAAAAGCTTTGGAACCTGGAGAGTTTGCAAGTTTAAAATGTGCATCTGCAGAGTGACTACCATTATTTATTTTTAGAAGGCTATTCCTTCTCACTTAGAGTTGAGGAGGCTCTGGGAAGTTGTTTTAAAGGTTTAGAAGAGCAGCCAATAAAACTTGAACATCAAAAAGCATTTTTAGAACAATTTGCTGGTTAATTCAGCATGCAAGAATAGGAAATAAAAGTTGCAATGACATTTCCTTTGAAATTCCAATAGGATTACATTGGAGAATTTAGCTCACTGGACAGCCTTGTTCCCAAAATGCTAATAATGCAAGATTTGAAATCTCTTGGTTAAATTTAGGGATCTGTATAACAAAGTGAATGAACAAACTTTCATTTAGAAATAGAATATTTTAATGAGCAGATTGTTAAAGATTAAGAATAGTGGTAATGCTTATAATTTAAAAAGACAGACCAATGCTTATAGTTTAAAAAGACAGACCAAACAAATGCCGCCAATCCCTAGAAATTATAGGAAAAAGGTAAAAGCTAATGATCCAATAAATCCATTATCACACTAGAGACAAATAATGGTAAGCCTGCATGGATCAGAAACACAATATGGAATCTCTGAAATATAAAAAGCAAATAGATGTAATGAAGAGGAAAAAAAAAAAAAAAACAGCTCCACATGATCTATACCTGAAATGACATATAGTTGAAAAAGGAAGGATTTTAGATCTTGGTATACTGGTAAATGTTTAAAATTGACTGGGGCCGAGACTGGGAAGGCAAAAGAGCCCTGGTAGCATTTGCCAATTTCCATGGTGCAAATATTCCCATCATTGCCACTTCCTTGGGAACACCTTTGAAATAACTATGTATTTTAGGCCCATTTTCACTTGAAAATAAACAAACCGACCCAAAACCAGTCCTTCCTATGAAAGTAGCGTGGAATTTTTGAAACAAATAATCCAGATCCCAGAGGTGGATCCAAGGTCTCCCCAGCATTTTGGTTCTCCAGACTAGGATATCTAACTGGAGATCTCTTGACTCCCAGTTTCCTTTGCAATGTTGACAGATATGTTAAGATTCCCAGAAACTAGGTTTGCCAGGAGGACATCTGCCTCTCCTCCAAGGAAAACTCAAGATTGTTACAGGATTATTAAGCATTGTGAGCATCTC